TAATAGGTTAGTATATTAAATAAAATCATAAAATTTCACTAAAACCCTGGGATTTTAATAATAATTCGATTTTCTATGTGAACTTTGCCGCGTAAAAACAACAACAATTGACGTACGCTAATGTATGGCAAATTGCGCCAATACATAATTGGAATTTCAATGAAAACGTACGAAAAGAAAATTAAAAAGAGAAATTTTTCAAATAAGAAGATTCTCGAGACTATCATTACATAAAAAAACTCAAGGTTATCTAATTAACCAAGAGAAATTATGACCAAAATATGAGATGGTTTTCTAGTATATTAACAATACGTCCAGCACTAGTTACGTTTTAACTAAGTCCTTCCCAAGTAAAATTCTGATATGGTTTGCTCTTTTCAAGTTTTAAATGAGCTGAAATTTTATATAAAAGAAATAAATATACCGAGTATTTTAAACATATCATGTTTGTTTGTTTGTTTTTGAATTTCGCGCAAAGCTACACGAGGGCTATCTGCGCTAACCGTCCCTAATTTAGCACTGTAAGACGAGAGGGAAGGCAGCTAGTCATCACCACCCACTGCCAACTCTTGGGCTACTCTTTTACCAACGAATAGTGGGATTGACCGTCACATTATAACGCCCCCACGGCTGAAAGGGCGAGTATGTTTGGTGTGACGGGGATTCGAACCCGCCACCCTCGGATTGCAAGTCGAGCGCCCTAACCATGCCGGGCCCAAACATATTATGATTTAGTATTTAATGGACTGATGATGAAAATAAGTATACTCAAAAACCTATACTAGACTGTAAATGTATCATTCAACTACAATTTATTCCACGTATAGCCAGTTAAGTGTAGCCGTCATTTTGAATTGTGCCTAATTATTCCAGATACATTAGTACCTTTCTTCTAAATTTGGTCCAATTAAATGACGTAAAATCGTTATCCTCCCTTATTAGTTTTGAACAAATATTCTAAAAGAAATGTGAATGGCGTTTTTCCTGCAGAAATTACTTTTATCTAAGGATTCGATGATATTAACAACAAGAGTAATGATAATAACAGCAGCAGTCGTAAAGAAAGTTAATTCATTATACTTATTTTTATGTACAATACTAATACTTCCTCAAAATAATAAATAATTTATGCTACATAAAATATCTCAAACCTTTCTGTTTTTAAATACGACATGCATAGTTTGTATATTACATTTTTCTGTTTGTGTAGAAATATTATTTTTATATCATTTTGATTTCTTGAAATTATATTTTATCAGTTTAATGAACTTGTTGCCTCTAGAGATTCTAAATCTTTGTGTATATTTGAACAACACTTTTAAAACAATTTGGCGATAATTATTTTCTTTCTTTTTTTGCCAGTACGCAAATGCTTACATAATAATTTACTTAGACATTTTTCATTAAGATAATTTCATATTTCTATACTTGGGATATAAAGACATAAGGAAGTGGAACCCCCAGCGTCTGTAAGTATTAGAATTATTATCGTAAAATGTTTACTTGAAAATTAAACTATTATCTTCTAGTTACAAAATATGCAACAAACAAAGCTTAAAGAATGTGTTTTAAATACTTATTGAAACAATAAGATTTTCAGGAAATACATAAATGGCTTTGATGAAAGTTACAATAAACTGAAGATATAGTCCTTAGTCGGGTTGAGCGTAGCCTAGTGGTTAGCACACCAAATTGCTGATTACAGGGTTGAGGTTCGAGTCGTAATACTGTTGAACATGCTCCACACTTTTAATTGTAAATGACAGTCAATCTTATTATTCGGTCCTGGACAAAGCCATCGTGGCGGCAGGTGCTGTTGACTGATTGATCTTCCTCTCTAATCAGTTTAAAATTAGGGATGGCCATTCCTAAACCCTAGGGGTCTCTGACCTGATCTTTTAACCCACGTACGTTCAGGTTTAAAAATCCTAAGTTACTTAGTGTACTTAAAGAAACTTTGAAATAACTTGAGCTTGTAAGGAAACTCACCAGGGCAAACTGCTCAAAACACTATTAATTTAATCTTGTCTATCACAGACGACCCCACTACGTGGAACCTGATCCATGAGTATTAAACACTTCGTTGCTCAATCCTTGTGGAAAATTAAACATGGCTACGATTGCTGTGAAATAACTAAATTCTTTGTTTATTTCACCGTATTTTTTAACCTACTCTAATTTTAATATAATGTACCATGTGACTCAAGACTTCAGTGGGCGCGATTCACGTTTTCCGACACCAGAACTACAAGCTACTCTAGTAATTAGATTACAGGATACACATGATATTAATAGTTAAAATATTCTGAAAACTAGGTGTATTGCCTGAAACCATTTATGCACTACCTTTATGTTTCTTACTTCTAGTATCGAGAGTAAGTTGTTAAAATGAGATATGTTAAGTACCTTCAGTGTAACCTGATTTTGGTTTCAAAAAATATAACAGAAATATCTAATTTGTATAAAATTTTCAAAATGGATAGGTTGAAGTGCCTTTTTTCTGTCATTAATATATTTAGAAATCTGACGAATAAATTTGAAACAGGACATACTTCCATATCGTGCCTACAAACTGTCTGATATTTGGTATATATATATGTGTATATTTGTATATTTTTTATTTAAGGGGTGATTATAAGATTTATATATATCTTAATATAGGATGGTGTTTAATATTTAAGGCGAATTCTCCAAAAGCTTCTACAATTGATACCTTTATACCTGTCTAGCTGTTTTTAGCAGGTCTGTGTGACATGGTAAATTCAAAATGATTTTCAAAACACACAAAGCTGGTTAAACTGAAGAATAAACCAATAACTTGTTCAAAATTCCTTCATTATATTCCGGAGACTTAACTATGAAGAGATTTGTGCAAGACTAGAAATATTCAAGTTTTATTTCCTAACCCATTGAAACACACTTGAAAGATATTAATACTTTGAATGATTCCACGAATATTTTAAAAGGTTAAAATAGTTTTGAAAGGCTTTGAAGCTTTGCTCATTTTCAGAATTCTCGAAAACAATGCATGGTTCTAAGAAGATTAAACCTTCAAAGAAAGAAAGAATCATAACAATTAGAAGGATTTTGTGAGGAATTTAAAGCTCTCTGAAGTTTTGTTTCTTACGTTTTATCAAATATACCGTTAAATATAATACATGAAAGTTTTGTTGGACAGAATATTCTAGAAGCACTATGGTTGTAACAATCTGCATTGTTGCACTCAATATAAGATTAACTTTAATACGTAGGAGTTTTGTTAGAGAAAACATACCAGAAGCACTATGGTTGTAACAATCTGCATTGTTACACTCAATATAAGATTAACTTTAATACGTAGGAGTTTTGTTGGAGAAAACATACTAGAAGCACTATGGTTGTAACAATCTGCATTGTTGCACTCAATATAAGATTAACTTTAATACGTAGGAGTTTTGTTGGAGAAAACATACTAGAAGCACTATGGTTGTAACAATCTGTATTGTTGCGCTAAACATAAGGTTAAATGTAATAAGTATGTCACATGGGGCAAATGTTACAATAAATAAAAATAACAATCTATAGCAAATTGATTGGGCATGGTACTGAATATATTGTTAACTATATAACACGTGGAATGAGTGTCGTAGTAAGTATACTTAATACTTTCAGCACAGTTTATAGATTAAGTTTTTTAGAAGTTGTATAACTTGTACTATTATTCTAATGAGCACGTACGTTTGATATTAGTAGAAATACTTGACATTTCCATAGCACTTTCAGCATAAAACACCTCAACTTTGTCAACTTCGATGCTCTACAGATTAAATGTGCTAATACCGAAAGTTTGTTTGTTTCTAATTAAGCACAAAGCTACACAATGGGCTATCTGTGCTCTGCTCTCCACGGGTATCGAAACCCGGATTCTAGCATTGTAAGTCCACAGACATACCGCTGTGTTACGGGGGGGGCAATAATGAAAGAGTATTAATGTTTAACTAGTCCTCAGGAACTACTTTTTTCATAACTATACAAAATAAATAAAAAATATATTTGGATTTTCCTCTTTTTCCATCTTCAGGAATCACAAGTGAACCTAAAAGGAAAATAGTTTTTTGTTTGTTTGTTATTAACCACAAAACTACACAAGGGACTCGACCAACTGTGGGTATCGAAACCCAAATTTTGGCGCTAAACTAGCGGTGGGCAAAGAAAAATATCCTAATTATGTGAGTATTTGTATTTTTGTTTGAACGCAAAGTTATACAATGGACTATATGCGCTCTGACCAACTCTGGAAATCGAACCCGGATTTTAATGTTCTGAGTTCGAAACCTTACTGCTGACCCACAGAGGGTCACTTAATCCTTTATGTAGCTTTAACTTAACAATGAGCAAACTAAAAGTGGTTTATAGCTTGAGACTTTCTTAATAATTTAAATTTATCACGCTAACACAAATCGTGTTTAAGTGAACAGTAGATTATGTAGTTGTATTTGAAGTCTTGGTAAGATTTTGCTGAAACAGTAAACGATGCATACCATTTAAAGTTGCAAACACGATTTTATCTGAATTTACATTAGTCTAGTAGTTTCACATGATTCAGGTAAAAGATAACACGCCCTAAATGACACAACTGTTTTGTCTTTTTATCGTTTTTTTATGAGGAATCAAAGAAATTAGAAAACAAAACCATGTCAAAGGCATCTTCTTATAAATATGAAGAAACATTGTTTAACAAGAACGCTTTGTACAAGAAAGCCACATCTTTAACAGACGATAGTAATGACGTGATCCATTCCGAGTGGTGCCCTGAATTTTATCGCGTGCCATGAGGTGTAATAACAGGGCGGTGGAGCTCGGGTGAAAGTAGACCGGTTCTTGCAATAAAAGATCAACCAATTCACTTTCGATTTTCGCTGACCTGGTGTACCACTTTCTTGCTTGTCCCAACAATAGGCTTAGACATATAAAAGGCAGATTTCTCAGGTTAACGCCATTCTACTCCTGGTTATCAAACCATGAAGTTTCAGGTGAGTGTGTCGTAAACAAGTCAAACACGCCCTCGAACTTACAAGGGTCGTTTAACAAGTGCATCGTAACTCGGTAGCTCAGTGTGTACAAAACATTCAAAACAAAATAATCAAATATTTTTGTATCTGTTTAGTCATTTTTTTTTCGGAACAAAGAATTTGAAAAAGTGGAAAAATATATATGCTGCACATTTTTCAAAAGAAATTTACAAAAAATGTATAATATTAAATATAAAATAATTTTAATATAAAGAGCACTTCGTAATCGCCTACACATATTTCGAATTATAACACTATTATAAGTATTATTTACGTATTGAAGGTAAGAGTATTACATTGTATGACGGTTTTAGTTCTAACATACTAATTTATAATTTTTTTTCTTTGAAGGTTGCCTTCCTTCTTTTTGCCGTTGTTGAGGTACTCACTACTGAGGTGAAACAGGAAACAGTCCCTGTTCCTGCTGTTTACCCTGGTCCCGCTGACAGTGCTGCCGGCTATGCTGACTACGCCAAGTTGAATAAGGATTTTGGCGCCAAAGGCCACTCATCTCTTGCCGATCATGGTAGCTATGGGAGCGCTGCTCAAGGAGCCTCTGGACTGCTTAAAGATGCCGCTTTCAGGAATCTAAATGCGTTTGGCGCTAAGGGTGCATCTCACGGCCAATTCAAGGACAAGGACGTATACTCGAGAGATCGCGGGTACGGCTATCAAAAGGCTTATGCCTACGACAAAGTGGTATCTTTCCACGACGTTGACGCAGAAAAAGGAGCATATGGCAGCAAACAGGGCCTGAGTGACGATTCTGCCCACAGCAAACTTGACTCCAACAAACGTTACGGCCAAGGAGCTTTTGGTAAACATGATCTCCATGGTGCTTCTGGTTATGATCGCCAAAGACAGCTAGGCAGTGGTTACGCCAAAAAAGGCTATGCTGAAGGAGTTGGAGCCATCGGCTACCAACCTGCTCATGGTGACGTCTTCGCACCCTCATTCAATGGTTATGCCCCAGTATTCGGTCCTGGCATTGGTTATGGTCCTGCATCAGCCTTCAGAAATGGTCAGGCCTACAGCTATGGTCCTACATCAGCCTTCAGAAATGGTCAGGCCTACGGCTATGGTCCTGCATCAGCCTACAGAAATGGTCAGGCCTACGGCTATGGTCCTGCATCAGCCTACAGAAATGGTCAGGCCTACGGCTATGGTCCTGCTTTCGCTGTGGCTCCTACTTATGGTTACGGTCATGGAGCGCCACATTCCTACCCTAGTTACCACTAAGCGTTTTAGGTAAAAGTAATATTTTTAGTGTTTTCCTTGCAGTACTATATATATATTCCAACAAATAGCTGTTATTATAAAACGTTATGTGCCATGAGAGTAGTGGAATTTCCCATAAAGTATTAAATTTTCAGTCCACTTCCAAATAAAACATAATATGGTTTTAGTCGATTTCCAACAAGATATTACATTCTCAGTCCGTTTCCAATAACTCATTAATTATTTTTATTCCATTTCAAATAAGGCGTAATAGTTTTCATCCATTTCCAGTAAGACCTTACATCTTTAGTCAGTTTAAGTAAGATATAATGTTGTCTATTTTAGTTTTGTAAATGTTGTCATAAAACGCAGAAAATCCATTTTAAATATCTCCTTTGAAAATTCAATTTCATCATAATTTTATTTAACAAAATATTAAAATTTGGATTTTGACCTTTTTCAGACGGATACATATACTCTTTAGGAACATAACATAAATGAGACGTTGATCCGTTAGTGGGGACTTTCTGCAAATAGCAAAAAAAAAACACCAATCTTCACATCCTGTCAAATAATCATCACCTTACTGCATCTGCATATTTTCAAGATTATTACTTATTTATATAAATAACAGAAGAAGTTGCTCATATTGTTTATACAAACTCTTTTTATAATTCTAATGTCTGTATTCTTTTATGTTCCTGTAAATAAATGTTTGTTAACCTTCTTTTTAGATCAAACTCATGTTCGTCTTCGACCTTACAGGTTTGTTTTTAACAAAACATGACTTTAGTAGGAATAAAAGTAAATGTCCACATGAACATCATGTTACAAGCTTAATAACAAATGCGAAACGTAAATTAAATATCAAAGTAATGACTCTTTCTTTTTTAGTATACCAGTTTGCTTTCCTTTGGTTCCTTTTGGAGAAGTAGAAAAACATAACAATGTCAAGCTGGCTTAAATGATATTCTTGATAAATATTTACTTAGACTTACAAATATTCGCGCTTTTTTTAAGGCTTCGAATTGTTTAAAACCGACTTTAATTTTGCAAAGAGTGGATTTGGGAAACTTAAAGATGGAACAATTTTATTGAAATTGAAACGCGAGACAAAATACATTTTCTGTTTGAATTCTAAGGAAAGTTAAGTTTGTCTCTCTATATTCCAATAGTCCACTCTAAACACAATAAAATGTTCTGAGTTCACGTGTTTTTCAGTCACCTTGTGTAATTCACTTGTATTTTGTTTTCAAACGCAAAGAAAAATCTCTCACATAAAAATCAATAATATCCAACAAAGCACTACTTTTCCAATTCAACCAGCTCTCATACGTAAATAACCTAAATCAGTGCTTTTCAACCTTTTCCAATATCATTCACCCCTATTTTTCACAACAGCTACAAAGAAGACAAAAAAGTACTAAATCAAAATGCAAAATTCTTTATTATGACTTAAATGTACATCAAACTACAACTAGAATGAATACAACATAAAATAAACAAAACCCCTGATTGAACCATTCACCCAATTGAGAAGCATTGACGTAAAGTATAAATTATTTATTAGTAAGCAAAAATAGTGATATTTAAAATAACAAAGTTGCTTCAAAAAAAAAAAAAAGTAGCACCTTCAAATGTTAGCGATCTGCTATATAAACTTCTGGGGAACAGATACAAAGAATCAACTGAAATACTTATTCAATTCTGATTTGAAAGTTAAAAAATTGGTCAATGTTACCATTTCAAAGCTAACGTTAGATATAATAGAATAAAGAGTTATACACGATCTAGCTAGCTTAAACTACAATGTGGATAAGAACTTTGTAGAAATTATACCTTATTTTTCAAACATGTTTAGACATTGATTATAAATCTCTAATTATCCGATCTCTGTAAAATGTAAATTATTTAGAGAGCCGTTACAAATTATGACAAAGCACGTAAATGAGTTACCCTTTCTCTGTAAATGCTGAATAGTTCTGGAACTATGGCATATAATACAGTGTATGTGTACCATATGTAAAATCAAACCACACTGACCTGGATTGTAAAATACCTTCAAAACTTATTCGTAGCTGGAGGGGTAGGTGCCCCCATCTTTCTGAAGAGAAACATTCAAACACGAATGATAAACGTTGTTGAGCGAACAACAGTCTTAATTATTACTTGCTAATAGTGTAAATTACTTTCCTTGTATATGTTTTTTGTTGTTGTTATAACCTTGGTAACAATATATTTTTATAGTTTCCATATCTATAATTATCAGTTTGTTAGACAATGTAGCCTATGTCTGTTGGTTCTTTAGAACGTTGATGTCCTCTATACATCCGCCGGGTACTAACGTTCTACCTACTGATTATTAAAACGTTGTACCCTACATTTGTTGATTATTTAGAACGTTGTACCCTACATCTGTTGATTATTTAGAACGTTGATGTCCTCTATACATCTGCCGGGTACTAACGTTCTACCTACTGATTATTAAAACGTTGTACCCTACATTTGTTGATTATTTAGAACGTTGTACCCTACATCTGTTGATTATTTAGAACGTTGTACCCTACTTCTGCTGATTATTTAGAAACTTATACCCTACTTCTGCTGATTATTTAGAAAGTTATACCCTACTTCTGCTGGTTATTTAGAAAATTATACCTACTTCTGATGATTATTTAGAAAGTTATATCCTACTTCTGCTGATTATTTAGAAAATTATATCCTACTTCTGCTGGTTATTTAGAAAGTTATATCCTACTTCTGCTGATTATTTAGAAAGTTATACCTACTTCTCCTGATTATTCAGAAAGTTATACTTTACTTCTGCTGATTATTTAGAAAATTATACCTACTTCTGCTGATTATTTAGAAAGTTATACCTACTTCTGCTGATTATTAGAACACTGTACTACAAAACTTGATAATGAGGAACCCACTTTTTAGAAAATAAAAGTTTTGAGACGACTTGACTGGGTAATGAAAAACTTCATTGTAAATGTACAACTTTTCGACAAGATTTTTTACCTGAGGATGACAAGATCTTGTCAAAACGTCGTATATTTATAATAAAGTTTTTTCATTACCCATACAAGCCGTCTCAAAACTTTTATTGCACTATAAATTTACTAGCCCGGCATGGCCAGGTGGTTAGGGAGCTCGACCAGCAATCTGAGAGTCGCGGGTTCGGATCCCCGTCACACCAAACGTGCTCGCCCTTTCAGCTGTGGGGGCGTTATGATGTGACGGTCAATCCCACTATTCGTTGGTAAAAGAGTAGCCCAAGAGTTGGCGGTGGGTGGTGATGACTAGTTGCCTTCCCTCTAGTGTTATACTGCTAAATTAGGGACGGCTATAGCAGATAGCCCTCGTGTAGCTTTGCGCGAAATTCAAAAACAAACAATAAATTTACTAGTTATTTAGAACATTGTACTATACATCTACTAATCTACTATACATCTGCTAATCCTTTCGAAGTTTTAGCCGGTTTCTCTCTTTACTCTACTTTTAAGTGTTCTGTCTCTGGTTCTTTTCTAAATGTTTTCAACGTTTTACTCTGGTGCAGTTTTGACTTTAAAATGTTAGCCTTTAGTTCTTTCCTATTTTACTTTTCCGAAATCTGTCTTCATTCTTTAGATGTTTTACAAAGTTTCTATTCCGACTTTCTTGACTTTGTAAATTAAATCTGTTCTAATCCTTTAAATGTTGTATTCTATTTCAATTGAGTTTTTTTACCCAATTTTTATTGAGATCTTGTACACTTAAAGTTTTACACACATCACTGGATGTTTATACAATTTTTATAGTCCTGTAGATATTTGTAGAAGGTGTAACTTAGATCTTTGTAGATTCTGTAGACGTTGTTATCCGCATTTGGTCTTCATTCTCTAATTTTCTTATTCGTGACATGTAGATTTTTTAAAATGTCTTTCTTTAGATTAAATATTTCATTTTGTTTATTTTTATGTTGGCCCCCCATAGTGGCACAGCGGTATGTCTTCGGACTTGCAACGCTAGAAACCGGGTTTCGATATTCGTGGTGAGCAGAGCACAGATAGGCCATTGTGTAGCTTTGTGTTTAATTACAAACAAACTTTTTTGGAAAAAGAGTGCCACCTAGATTTGTCCTTATGCTTTAAGCATTATTTAATTGTTTTGTATACATAGAGTATTAAACTGTTTCATAACTTATTAAGCGTTACATGTGTCTGTCGTCGTCTTCTTTATAAATAGTACCCTGGCTATCTTCTAGTTCTTCAGGTATTGTCCCCTGTATGTCTGTATTCTTATCCTTTAGTTCTTGGTATATTCCGGTTCCTCGTGTACTGTACTATATCTGTATTCATTTTCTTTGTGTGTTGAATTCTTGCTCTCTTCTTATTCTTCAGGACTTGTATCCTGTTCGTATCTTAGTTCTTTATTCCTATCGTCACGGGTCAAAGGCCATGTCATCGCGTTTGTTGACTTACAATCAAAATTTTGTTAAACTACTATTTTATGAATATATGTCAATAGGTTTGGTATGAAATCGTAGTCTATAATTCAAATTTTAGTATTATACATTAGTTAATTTCTTATTTTAAAAGTAAATATTATAAGAACGCACCTAAATATCGATTTTTGTGTGTCACGTGGTATGTTGAATGTAGCATTGGTTCAAATTAAATGTTTGTGATGTCCAAATATAAAGTCTGTGGTTTCTTATGAATTAGGAACTCAAATTACAGATATTTACAAACTAGAATATAAAATAAGAACTTCCTATCTTTTCTATTAGCTTTTTTATACCTATCACCCCACTGTTCCTTTTAAATGTGTACCTAGTTCATAAAACCCATTTCCTTTCCTGGATGATACGTTATAATTATCTATTGGCTATTTAAATGTTATATTCTTAATTCCTTAGATAACATATGATATTTATATATTGGTTCCTTAATTGGGAGATATATCCTGATTATATGTTATTTCCTTAGGTGGTTTATCTTAGTTACTTATTAGTTCTTTAAATAATATACTCTGGT